TTTTTAAAGGATAATTAAAAATGATATTACTTAATTTTAAGCGTAAATTCATCAATTTGATCAAAATAAGGTCTCGTTTGGTAACTTTTTTTTTTAGTAAAAAAGTTATTAAATTAGTCAAAAAATTAACAATCTATACCAAAAAGTCAAAGATTTTCTTTTCTCTCTACTTTTTGCACATCTTTTCGTAAAAAATCAATAAATCATCCCAAACATACTAGTTTTTTTTAGTTTATATTTTAGCCAAATAACCAAAAATTTACTAAATTAACTTGTTCTCAAACGAGACCTAAATGTCAAAAATATATTTTTAAATTTTTAAAAATTATTTTTATTCACTAAAGATAAAATTATGACAAATTGACAATTTTTTAGACCTTTATTTATTTATTTATTTTACCAAATTTATTTTTATTATATGTTTGGATGATGATCATGTAATGTATTTTATTTTCATTAAATTAGTTTTTATTTTTCTAAAAGTCAAATATGGAGACAACTTTGATATTATTGTTAAACTAATTCATTAAGAGCATCTCCAACGGTGTACCAAATATTTCACCAAATCTGAGTCAAAAAGGGGTCATTTCCTTAATTTGATACTTCGAGCTCCAACGGTTCAACATCAAATCCGTTTCATCAAATTTGCGCTGGGCAACCGGTTGGTTGACCGGCCGGTCAACCGGTAACGGCAAATTGGTCATTTTCTTAATTTGATACTTCGCGCTCCAACGGTTCAACATCAAATCCGTTTCATCAAATTTGCGCTGGGCAACCGGTTGGTTGGCAAAAATTTATTTATTTATTTATTTTTTTTTACCGGTTTGAACCTTTTTTTTTTGAACTTTTGGTGGTCGACCGGGTGGTCAACCGGCCGGTCGACCACCTAGGCAAAATTTATTTATTTATTTATTTTTGACTGGTTTGAACCTTTTTGTGAACGGTCTGAACTTTCTCCGGGGCAACCGGTTGGTTAACCGGTTGGTCAACCGGATGGTTGACCCGTTCGTCTCATCCCAACGGCCAGTAACAGTGATTTGGTAAAATACAGAACTTGTTCTCAGTTTGATACTTTTTTTGCTGTTTTCTCATTTTGATATTCATTTGATGCAACGGTTGGAGCATGGAAAAGTACACTTTTCATCAAAATTTAAATCTGATATCAATTTTGGTTCAGCGTTGGAGATGGTCTAAGGGTGGTTTGGAATGATCTAAATAAGTATACTTTTTGATTTTTTATGAAATATGGCTTGGGTATAGGTTGGATTTGAAGTGATGTGTTAGAGATATGATATGATTTAAATAAGATGATGTGACTTAAATAAAACAGTGACTTTTTGACTTTTTTAGATCATGCCAAACAAGGCCTAAATCAAAAAACTAAAATTAAAAATATTTCATATATTAAATATATCGATTACACATCAAAATCCTAACAATTACTTATTACATGATTATCATCCAAACACATAATAAAAATTAATTTGGTAAAATAAATAAATAAATAATAAATGTCTAAAAGATTTGTCAATTTTTCATAATTTTATCTTTGATAGGTAGAAATAATTTTTAAAAATTTTAAAATATTTTTTGACATTTATTTTTATCAAATTAGTTTATATTTTGTCGAATTGATGATTTTGCTCTTGAAATTAAGCAATAATATATTCAATTATCCTTATTTGGAACAAAATTCATAGTCAAATGTGTCATAATTAAAAATTCAAGGACCAAAGTGGCATAAACCCCAAACTATAAAGACTGTTAGTATAATTCACCCTAGGAAAAACAATCTTCAACAGTTATATATTATCCACTAACTTTAATTTTTTAGTAGGGCTAGGCATAAGGTTATCCGAACCGCTTAACCCATCCAACCTGAACCGATCCGCATATAAATGGGCGGTTTCGCAGACATAATGCAGGCAGATACGGTTTAAAATATGGCATGATTGCAGGTTGCTAGTGGGTTGCGGGTTTAACCCACACCCGTAAGAACCCATGCGCATTTAGATTTTTTTAAAAAAAAACCTAGATCATTATTATTTTATTATTGCATTTTAGATGAATGTAAAAGTTAATGAAAAATTACTTTTAGATAAGTTTAAGATTTTAAATGATTTTACTTTAATTATATTGTTGGATAGTAGATAGTAAATGAAATTAATGATCTAATTTAGGAACACAAAACGCAACCCGCACTACATATAATTACGGGTTAAATTTTTTCCAAATCATATACATATAGGTGAGTCTAAATTGATTCATAAATCGTCCAAAATCGAACTACGAGTACCCCTAATCCACACCCAATAAAATTCTTAAACCTTTTAGAATTTCCCAATCTTTCAAAATCTTCGTTTATTTTCAAATCTGAATATAATCGATTTGTTTGATTGGCTGCCAATAAAGTTCACTTTTTATTTTCTCTTTATAAATGAACTAGCATATGGTTAATATGCACGAATATAAATAAATAATTAAAATTTATTTTTAAAATTAAATAGTAATATAAAATTTATTTAAATTATATAATAAAAACGGTTTATAATTAATTAAATATATGTCATAATTTAATTAATAAAAAATAAATAATAAATAATAAATTACAAAATATAAATACATTTCTTTTTATGAGTTTTGTAATTTTAATTTATTATATGATAGTAGTAAATTACATTCGTTAATATACTAATGTTTTTTCGTTATTTAAAGTTCAAAATTGTAAATTGTCTTATGTCATAACTCTTGCATGAAAATAGATTAGGATTGACTTATGTTATTTGATTAAGCATTAGAAATGAGTTAGAAATTAGTCGACTTAATATTTCTGCCAATATGACATTCACCTAATTATTAAAAATTGTCTTGATCATATATATAAATGTTTAGTGTATAAGAAAATAATGAGTTTTGATGTAATGGCTACGGTGAGAAAAAAAAATAAATATGTTGTGAAATTTTAATTATATAAATTATTTTATACTTTATAGAGAAAATTTTAAAATATTTTAATAGAAAATATTTGTTTGATTGTAAGTGTTAATGTATATGTGGTATTCCTAGATATATTAGGTATTGATTTCCTAGATATATTTAGGAATAGTCATAGTTAGGTTTCTAGTAGGATACTCTTTCTCATAATTAAGTTTTTAGTAGGATACTTTTTCTCAACCTATATATCCTTCTATCATTCAATACAATACATATTATTCTCTCTCTACTATTCTAACATGGTATCAGAGCTATAAGTTAAGCTCTTAGTGTTCTTCGCCTTACCGACGGGCAGCAGCCTTGCCTTGGTCGCCCGCTGGACCTCAACCTATTCCATTGTCATATTTTCTTGTCAGTATCGTTTCGTGGTGATCTCTTCCTTTGTTCGTTGGTTATTCCTACCCCAAATATCTCTATCATATTTTTTTCTTTTTTACTCGCAATACATTTTTTTTTTCTCCACTCTATCTTTCCCTCTGCTTCAATCTCAAATTGGTTTCTATCTTCAAACCTATTTGAGTTTGAGGGAGGTATTATATCTATATCATGGTGAACATGGTTATACACCATGCAAACCGCTTAAGCCGTCTTCTTTGGCGCACAATCCAAGCCGCACTCTCTGGCGCACAACCCAAGCCGTCCCTCTCTGGCGTACAATCCAAGCCGCTTCCTCTGGTGCACCACCAAACTCACTCCCTAGCACACTATCCAAGCCGTCTCCTGACGCACTCAGTTATTTGTTGCCATCATTGTTCAGCGCCACGTCATAAGTTATGTGTGTGCCACACTTGCTGGTTTAACATCCAATTCTCTACATTGGTCCGGCATGACCCCCTTCAAATTGTCCCGACATTGATTCCGGTTAACTCCTACATTGGTCCGGCATGACCTCTTCAAACTGTCTCGACATTGATTCCGGTTAGCTACTACATTGGTCCGGCATGACCCCTTTAAACTGTCCCGACATTGATTCCGGTTAATTCTTACAACGGTCCGACACGACCATAAACTATCTCTTGGCATTAGTTTTAACTAGTTTCTACATTGGTCCGGCACAACCTTAAATTATCGTGGCATTAGTTTCAGTCAGTTCCTACAATGGTCCGACACGACCATAAACTGTCTCCCGACTTTAGTTCCGACCTCTGATCTATTTCAAACGCCTTTGCGCTCCCGTTCGGATTCGGATTTTGCAATTTATTTGACTTTTATTTTATTTAGTTTTATTTCATGTTTTAGTTTCTCTCTCCAAACTCAAGATGTTTATCCTCCTTGAGTTTGAGGGGGATGTTAATGTATATGTGGTATTCCTAGATATATTAGATATTGATTTCCTAGATATATTTAGGAATAGCTATAGTTAGGTTTCTAGTAGGATACTCTTTCTCATAATTAAGTTTTTAGTAGGATACTCTTTCTCAGCCTATATATGCAAGCATCTATTGTATATAATACATTCAACTCTACATATCATTCAATACAAATCATTCAATATAATACATATTATTCTCTCTCTCTACTATTCTAACAGTAAGGAATGAACAATTTTAGGGAATGATTTTAAGAATGAAAAATGCATTCTTTTTTTTAAATATAAAGTGTTTGAGTGTGTAATTTATTAATTATATTTTTAAATTGAAAAATCCAAAAATTTAGATTGAGAATTTGAAACTCTCATATTTCTTACTTATATAATATATAGATTTTTATTTTTTAAAAAAACAAATTTCTTTTTGTTATCTAAATACTAATTAATTTTGAAATTAAATAATAGTAAATACTTTTTCTAAAACGTAAAACAAAATTGATTTAAAATTAAATAAAGGATCTTGCTAAAAATATTAAAAAGTTGTTGACATTTTTATTAATTTTATAACACATTTCACATATTTATATGCAAAGTATATCTCTCATCTACGAGTGTACGAAAAGCTATTCATCACAGAGTTTTTTTTTTTTCTGACTCATTAACAAAATTTTGAATGTTCATCACAAGATTATCTGAACTAGTGATTGAGAATGTTGAGAAGGGACACTCTGGCCTTGATCAAATGCCTGCATAAGCACTCTGGTCCTTCTTCGAGCTTATGAATAGTGGCGGAGCCACATAGGCACTAAAGAGTCACGTGTCTTTTTGAATTATTGAATTTGTTTTTTTTTTCTATATGTATATAAATAAAATTTTAAATAAAAATAATATTTAGAATAAAATATCAAGGGCATTTTTAAATTTATAAAAATAATAGTGATTGTTTTATTGAAAATGAAGTGACTACATAAACAAAAATAATATTTAGAATAAAATGTCAAGGGCATTTTTAAATTTATGAAAACAATAGTGATTATTTTATTGAAAATGAAGTGATTACAACAAATTATATTTTTATGTATGCAAATTTTGTGAAAAAATCTCAATATAAAGGTAATATCCATCATTATTAATATACAAATATAATTAATCAAACTATATATATATATAAATTATTAGAGTGTTAGTTATATTTGCATGTGAAATTCACCCTTCATATGTTACTTTACTATTGGTTAGTAATATCATATGTCAATAATAACGTGATATCACTGTTATATGAAATTTTTACTCAAATTTTATAAAAATTCGATTTATTGTACCATTATCTAATACTTAAATATATGACTTTTTTACATTGTCCATGATACACTAGTTACAAGCAATATTTTCTTTTCAATTTTACTCGAAATTAATTGTAAAATTTTATGTGAAATACTTTTATAACAATTTATTTAATTTTTTGTACTTAATATTAAATCAAAAATTATTATTATCTTCTTATTGTTTGAAGAAAAAAAATAAAATTGTAATTAATAAGTACCCATTCTAATTTAATTTTCTGGCTCCATCACTATGTATGAATGCTCGATTCCATTTTTATCAATTGATTCTGAACATTCTCAATATGCATCGCGTAATTAGATTTGATTGTTGTCTTGTAACCGCTAAGCGAGTGCAATTTAGCTTCCACCTTCTCAAACTCATTTGCATTTGTCACGGTTTTGTGTTTACTATAAACCAACGACCAGTTGCTCTGCCTTGGTTGAACATTTGTCCCTCCAACACATGACAACAAGGACTCAAACTCCGCTAAAGTGGCAATTTCTACCTCTTTTAACATGCTAGCTGTGGCCTGAGTTTCGCAGTTCTTATCTAGATCGGTGCTTTTGTTTCTGATACTCTTCAAGTCATTTATGCTGTGTTTGGTTAGCGGATTTGAGTAAAGATTTAGAAAGGAAAATGAAAAAGATATAAGAAATGTGAATAAAACATACTTATATTTCACCTAATTTCACACATCTTTTTTCTTTCCCTTTCTAAATTCTTCTCCAAATCTCCCAACCAAACACAACATAGAGATTTTTTAATCACTTTCTTCGCCTTATTTCTAGAGGTTAAGTAGAAACCGAAGTCATTGGTGTCCCTCCTCCTTCGCAGGATTGAAAGAAGTTCTTGAACGTGCTGCTTTGTTTGTGATAGGACATCTCTGGTGATGACACACACATCCAAGAGCCTCAAATATCCATCCAAGGCCTCTTCAACCCATTTCTTGTTGGATTCTTTTTGGGTGTGTGGAAGTAGAAGCAAATCATCAACACAGTAGTACAAATCTTGGAGGCCTTCTAATCTGTTGTTTATTGATGGGAATGAGGAAGAAGTAGATTCAGAAGTCCTTAGTCTAAACAAATGCTCATTGAATTGAGGAATTGGAGGATGAGATGATATAGAGGGCAAGCTAACCGAGCGAGCATGGTAAGAAACTGTACAGGGAGCAAATATTTTAGCGAGCCCGTACTCCTTTCTTCCAAGTTCCGTTTATGTCCGATCACCTGCGAGCGAATAACGGTGAGCTGCCCGGCGGTGTGTGGCCGGAAAAACCCTCCAACGATCAAGTTAGCACACACCTAAGGATAGAGAGAGAGAGAGCAGTGTTAGAGTGTAGGAGTTTTCTTACAAAGTGTTGGTCTGTCTGCGTATGGGGGGCGCAGACATGCTTATATACCCTCTGCGCCCCATATCTATTCCCAGTCATCTCCTGACACGTGGCTCCGCTATCCCATCTGTCAGCATAAACCTTGCTGAACATCACCTAATCTCAACTACCTGCCTTCACAGCTGGAGCTCGGCAACCGAGCTTCTCTATCCACGACCGTGTTATGCTTCATACCCAAGCACTTCACTGGCTAAGCCCAGGAAGGACCGGGCTAGGCGGCATCTCGGCAAAGCCGAGCCCGGGGCACCTCCTGTGGTCGGCCTTCCTGCCGATCAAACGGTTACCTTGGTTGTCCACGCCTTTCCGGGCACCGATCACTCAGCTTGACTGCTTCCACCATCCCCTGATCAAACAGCTCGGTCCAACCCAGCACTGCCTCACCGAGCAGCTTCTTCACGATCTGGGCGGCACACACTTGGCCCAATTTTTGCCCGGCCCAAGTTCTGGCAGCCCATCTCCGGGCGGATAGTCGACCATCTCGGTCCCATGCACCATTGGGCTTTCAACCTGCTCAGCCGTTACCTCTGCCCAATTCCAGATCATAAATCCCCCTCTCAGAAACCATTTTTCTCTCTTAGAATGAGAATTATAAAGCAATTGAAAGTTGCAAGTTTTGACCTTTCTCTTAGGCCTATGCTCAATATATATCATGGCAATGGAAGAGGCATAAGGAATCTCATCCTATTCAATCATGGATGAGGATCAACATGAATTCGATTTGGATCTAAGTAATATCACAACGATGTTTACTCAATGTCTCCTCCCAACCTCACCACTTAGTTGTTTTTTCAGATATTGGAACATAATAGGCATAGCTTAAACCTAATATGATTCGTTCTAATATTTTGTGGAGTGGTCCATAAAATATGCAATGCACGAGTTGCATTGATGCTCTGTCTCCTCTGTTTTGTGGACACTTGTGAATGAATGATTTAAGGGATTAGTCGATCGATCAAGGCAGGTGAGTAAGACACGTGGTTGTTGTAGAAGAGATTGACAAGATCTGTGCTCAACTTTGCCATGTCTTCCCATATGATAATGGAGGAATATGATGGCATGAGACCAATGGATCAGTGTTATATAAACTAAATCAGACTATCCCCCTAGCAGAAAGACAACCTGCACAATTTTCATTGCTCCAAGCGTGCAAGTTCCAAAATTTCCATGTTAAATTAATTAAAACTAAGATCAGTTTTTACATTATATCCCCTGAGATGAGATCGAGACAATTGGAATCTTTACAGCCTAATTTTGTTTCACTAATTGTATGAACTCTCGTGCAGCCTCAATTATATCAAAATTAATATGTTTTCAAACTTCTTGGGTACATGTACAAAATTAACAGAACCAATCAAACTATTGTTGCTGCTGCATAAGATTTTACATTAGATGCAGTTGGGTAAATGATGCTCACATGATTAACGCAGGAAAGTTGCTATTATATAAACCAAATCAGAGTGCATGTCCCCAAACAAAAAGACAAGCCAGCACACTCTTCATTGTTTAAAGCATGTTAATTAAAATGTCCTTTTCAGTCTCATAATTTTTTTTATTATATCAATACCCTAGAAAATTGGAATCTTGACAGCTTTGGTATTAGTAATTAATATACACTCCTCGTGTGGCCTCCATAAATTATATTCCAATATATTATATATACATATATATTTATTTAAATTTGCCAAAGTTATTAGAAAAAGAAAAGTAAAATGAGGTATTCTTACGAGTGCTACTATTAGCATTCCATAAATTACTTTGGACCTTCTAATTTTTAACTTTTTTTTTATTATAATAATAACCTCAAATAAAATTACTACAAAGGACATCATTAATTTTGGAACACTCTATCTTACAATTAAACCTACATACCTACTACATCATGAATTATGATTTTTGAGAGCACCCACCTCTGTCACCACCCATCTATCTTTTCCAAATCCCACCTTCAAAACCCACCCACCCTCAAAACCTTGAAAACCCTTTGGCAGCAATATTCTGGCTGTAATGGTGGTAACCATTTGATAACTTACACTTCTCCGGCAATGACAATGAATATAAGTTTTTTTAGCAACCACAACTCCATAAGACGAGAGGAGTACAACAATAAAAGCTTAGAGGAGGTTCATAACTTTGATGTCGTTCTTAGCTCAGAGTAGATTGGCCTTGTAAGGGGTAAGTTTCTTGGAAAAAAAATGACAAAAATAATAAAATATGTTCGTCATTTTTTCGGGACATTTTCAGGACTGAACTCTCGAACATATGACCGAAATTCGGAAACACAGGCCCCGAACATTGTTTATTTGTTCGGGAACTGGTAATTGAATATTTATTATTTGTTCAGAAATAGGTAACCGAACATTATTTATAGGTTCGGACCTGCTTTATTGAGAAAACTAAGCCAATTATTATAATTTTTTTTGCAAGAGAAGAAATTATTATAAGAAAACTAAGAAATTATGTATGTATATATATAGAGAGAGAGTGTGTGTGTAACGGCCCCAAAATGCATGTCACAATTATCCTTATTTAATTATGCGATAATATGAATTAATTGGAGAATATCTGTTTGAATTGGAAAAAATATCTGTTGAGACTACAACTTTGGGACTGAAATTGACGACCATAATGGATTCAGAAACCGAAATTGAGCACATAGATATGCTACTGGGAATTTTCAGAGCCATTTGGAAAGTTTAATTGAAAATTAATTTCGTCTGATTCACTAAGCCATGTTTGGCTCAACCTTAGACAATTATATAGATATAGATATGGGCATTTGTTTGACTCAACACAAAAAGAAGAAGAAAAAATCTGAGAGAGAGAGAGAGAGTTCTAGAGACTAAGAGAAGAAAAGAAGAGGAAGAAGAAGATCAAAGGGGGATTGAAGCCAAATCTCCATCAAATTAAGCGTCTAAGGTGAGAATCCATCCCTAATTTCTTGAAGCTAAGTGGAATTAAAGAGTTGAGTAGTGTAAGTTGTTGTTGGAACTCACTTGAATTGAAAGAGAGGACTTGTAAACATCCATGACATTTTTCGTGTTTGTACATCATGTTTTCTTGCATGATAGTCATATTTGGAGAGGAAACTCCATAGATTTGAGAAATGGAACTCTTATATGCATGTTTATGCTTTTTACCAACTTAATTCAAGTTTATGAGTTTTACTTGGATATTTGGATTTTGTTGTGAAATTATGATTTTTATTTGAAGTTAGAAATAGGAAACTCAAGTTGTTTTCATGAGTTTTGGGCCTTAATTTTCATGAATTTGAAGTTGATTTTCAAAGGAAGGAGTTCTATTTCAAAGCAGATTTTCAGACTGGATTTTCACCTAGACCGCTCGAGCGACCTGGGCCACCGCTCGAGTGGCCAACCTTGATTTGGCCAAAGTTGCATTCTGCAGTTCCACCGCTCGTGCGGCCAAGGCCATTGCACGTGCAACCAAACAAGGTAGTTTTTCGGTTTAGTTTCCTTTTCATTTTCTGACTTTGGGCCTTCATTTACATGATTTTCACATGCCATTTACATCCATATACATCTCATAAACATAGAAATAATTGAATGAACAAGTAATGGATAACTGAATAAGGTTACGAACCAACTGCATGATTTGACTGTGTATTGAGAAATTATGCTACGCATGTTTATATTTGTAGGTCAAGACTCGGAGACCGCACAACCGGTTTTGGAAACCCACTATGAGTAACATTTCTATAAAGATACGTTGATATGCACTGTACTTGAAATGTTATACGAAATGCTATATGATATGATATGTTTCTGAAATATGATTTTGATTTTGTGAACTAATATCCAGTTTGTAAATCTAGTATGGTATCCAAGGATAGTCCTAAGTCATGGGGGACGGCACATTAGTGCGGGTCTATGTCATACATGTGATTACGAGATCTCATTAGCCATGTCAATGTGGTGTTATGTGTTTAATTGGTATCCGGAACCGATTACTCTAGTTGGAAGACGATATGTGATATGTTCCTTTGGATGTACCATTATTATGTTTTGTTATGACACTGGTATGATATATATATATATATATATGATATGATTTGGAATTCATTCACTAACCTCTTTATTTTAATGTTATTCACTGGGCTTTAGATAACTGTTTTTATGTATATGTATAGGTGAGCGTTTTGGAGGGCATGCCTAGGTGGAGTCTTGAGCCAAGCCACCATTTTGAGGTCTACCGAGTCGTTTTGTATGCCTCCGAGTTGGGGCTAAGCCTGGAAGGCCATTGTTAAACTTTTGATCATGATTTATACTTTCGACACATGCATATGTTTTGTATACGAGATTATGTTATACGTTATGTAATGTAAGTGGGTAAATTAATGTTTGCATGTAAATATTTGTTCATATAGATGCATAGCTCATTGGACTATCAGTGTTTTTGTCTCTTGTTTCCGCAAGCCCCGATTATCTTTGATTGTATAGGAAGGCCTTTGGTAATCTCGAATTACTGGCCGATTACGATGTCAAACCTTTAGGAATGGCAGCGGGGTGGGGCCGGGGATCATACTCTCCGTCCCCGATCCCCGATGGTCAAATTTCCCCCGGTCCCGATCCCCAACGGGGAACATATCACCGCCCCCGCCCCCTAACGAGGATCGGGTTTCCTCGACCCCGAACATTCCTCGGCCAAAAAAAAAAAAAAAGATTCAAAAAATATAACAATTCATCATCAACAACAACAACATCAGAGACAGATCTGAGACAGATCTGAAACAGATCTAAAAACAAAACAAAA